AAAATAAGGCCCATGCACATTCAGGGGTGGGGACACAGATGCCACTCTTGATAAGACAAACTGCAAAGAATTTGAGGCCATTTTAAATCTACAACCCTTTCGCTCAGCTCTGGGGGCTTACAGGGCAAGGAGCAGCTGACATAGGACAGAAACAAGGGACTTCCCCAGGGCCTGATTCCATCTTGGTTTTGGGCTTGTTTTTAACGTCAGGGTCGCTGCCTCAGCCAGGAACTCCACCCGCCATGACTTTGTGCAGGATACTTGAGCTCTGAGTTCCCCTTTCCTAAAGCACGATGTTAACAGCATGGGCCTCAGGGCTGTTTCAAGGATCGACCCACAGAACTTGTGCTGGGGTGAAGAGTGTCCCCCAAATCCATGTCCATTGAAACCTCCCCATGGAACCTTATTTGGATACAGAGTCTTTTCTTTTTGAGTTGGAGTCTCACTCCATCGCCCAGGCTGGAGTACAGTGGCATACTCATGGACACCCCAGCGTCAAACTGCTGGGCTCCCATGTTCCTTCCGCCCCAACCTTTCAAGTAGCTGGAACTACAGGTGCACGCTACCATGCCCGGCTAATTTTTGATTTATTGTAGAGATGAGATCTCCCTAAATTGCCCGGGTGGGTCTCAAACCCGCGGGCTCAGGCAATCCACTGGCCTCGGCCTCCCAAAGTGCTGCGATTATAGGCTGAGCCACCAAGCCCGGCCGGAAACAGGGTCTTTTTAGATGTAATCAAGTTAAGATGAGGTTAACCTACAGTGGAGAAAGAACCCATTTTCTGTGTTTTGCTGGGATCTTGCTGACTTCTCTTGTTCATTTCTGTTTTTGCCTTAAGCAATTCCTCAGAAAATGACAGAAACTAAGAAATGCCCCATTTCTTAAAGTGTAACATCTTCTAGTTCTATCTCTAAGACACTTTTAACTTAATATAAGCATCCTGGGAGTTATCGCCTGAATAACCCATCCTTAATTTTAATGCATCACACATAATTTTATGAACAAGTCAAATTATTTGCAGCATGTATGAATATTCTTGAAACCAAATCGCATAAAAAGATAACACAAAATAAAAAAGATACATATCCTTATTTTCTCCAGAGCTTATTTTCTTCAAAAAATTCTTTTTGGAGTTGGGGTCTCACTCTGTTTGCCCACTCACCGTGGCCTTGACTTCCTGGACTCAGGTGATCCTTCCGCCTCAGCCTCCTGGATATTTAGGACCTCAGGCGCCAGCCAGCACATCTGGTTACTTTAAAAATTTTTTATGTGGAGACAAGATCTCTACTGTGTTGCCCAGGCTAGTTAGTCTCTGAACTCCTGGGCTCAAGCAATCCTCCTGCCTCTGCCTCCCAAAGTGCTGGGATTACAGTCGTGAGCCAGAGCACCCAGCCCTAAAATCCTTTTCTATGACTTCAAAATTCCCAGACACTTTTTGCATTTTCATTCCAGGCTGGGTATTAAATGACGTGTGCTCTGGGCAGAGCCAGTGCTGGGAGCTGGGGATGCTGAGGCCGCAAGATGTAGCCCACCAATCAGACCAAGTCCTACGTGACTGCACAGGGTAGTAGTATCTGCTCAGACAGGCCTCAGATAAACAGAGAACTGAGGCCTCCATCAACTCTGCTCCAGTTTGAACCCCAGCTGTAGGCCCCAAGCACAGTGTCTTGAGTAAATGAATCAATCCATTAATTAATGCAAATGATTTGCCCCTAAGGAGTTGTGAGAGGGGGTTAAGCAGACTTCTGCCCTGAGGCATATTGCCAGGGGAGGGTGTGTCACGGCCCCTCTCTCAGGGACTCTCTCTCCTGGTTTGGAATCGGCTCCTGCTCCTTTAAGGGGACCAGTAGGGCCACAGCACGGGGGTGGGGGTGGGG